GGGGGGGGGGGGGGGGGAAGGGGGGGACTTCACAGGCCTTCATGCCTTCACTCAGCAAACATCCTGCTCGCACATCTGTTCTGAGCCAGGCCCGGGGGAGGTGCCAGGGACCGGGCGACATCTGCCGAGAGGAGGGGTTCACAGGAAGTGAAACCAGAGGCCAGCAGTGGGACATCACACATGATGGGGACGCACACTGGGCCTTCTGGGGACCGGGAGGGGTCTGAAGTCGGGAGGGGGGTAGTTCATGCTCGGTCTCTCTCTCTCTCCCTCTCAAAAAATTAAATGTAAAAAATAATTGAGTAAAAAGCTTGTCATCCACAAGAGGACAGGGTGGAGAGTACGCGCAAAGGAAGGGGTGCGGTAGACACTCAGCAGGAATCAGGAAGCCCACGGCCAATGTGGGGACACAACTCTAGGGGTGTTTTCCACACCCCCGAGTCTTACAGACGGAAGGTTTGCGTCCCCTCCACTTCATACGTTGCCACCGTATCTTCCGGTGCGACGGTATTTGCAGATGGCTTGGGAGGGCGGGTGTGGATAATTAGTTTCAGATAAGGTCCTGAGCACGGGGTCCCTGTGATAGGATCTGTGTCCTGAGAAGAACAGATACCCTATGTTCTCACTCAGATGTGGGCCTTGAGAACGTTAACAGAAAGCCATGGGGGAGGGGAAGGACGAGAAAAGTTACAGAGAGGGATGCAGGTGAACTATAACTTGAGTCTTAAATCCTGAGAACAAAGTGAGGGTGGATGGAGGTGGGGGAGAGGAGAAGGGGGTGATGGGCATGGAGGGGACCACTTGTTGCGATGAGCACTGGGTGTTATGTGGAAACCAACGCGACAATAAATTATATAAAAAAACAAGAAAGCAAATATACTTCTTTCAAAATGTTCATTCAATAATTGACATATAATAGGAACTGTCCATAAATATGCATTATTTCAACAAAACTAAATGTGACTACATATATATATATAAATTTATTCTTTTTCTTTACTTCTTTTAATCTTTATTTTTGAGACAGAGAGAGAGAGCACATGTGAGCAGGGGAGGGTCAGAGAGAGAGAGAGACACAGAATCCGAAGCAGCTCCAGGTTTTGGGCTGTGAGCACAGACACGGGCTCTGACCCACGAACCATGAGATCATGACCTGAGCCGAAGTCGGACGCTTAAGCGACTGCGTCACTCAGATGCCCCTGTATTTATTTTTTGAGAAGGAGACAGAGCGAGTAGGGGAGGGGCAGAGACGGAGAACCCAAGTTGCTTAACTGACTGAACCACCCAGGCGCCCCTATTTACATTTATTCTTAAGACTATCTCATTTAACACTTAATTGTTCTTTAGGACACAATGAAATAAAACATCAACATATATGTTTTAGCTTAAAGAAAAAAACCCCGAAAACAAAGCAGGAGACGGCTGAGCCCAGAGCTCTGTTTCTCCACCACCTAAGGACGCAGGGAGCACACAGTGTCTACACCCCCAGGAGAAGCCTCAGGAGCAGCAGACTGTCTGTGTCTGGATCTCAGACTTAAAAGCAGCTCTTGGGGCAGGGAGCTGGGAGTTCCCGCGGCCACGGCGAGGTGGGGTAAGGAGACAGATGCTGGGATCAGCCAGAGCCGGTCATTACCGCCGGGAAGCACTCTGCAGCCGCTAAGTGCTCGGCCTGGATGGGCGCCCGGGGCCGGCCCTTTCACGCTCCCTCTGCCTTTGCACAATTTTCCCCTTTCCTTTTTGCTTTACTTCCTTTCCTACAAACGGCAAAAAAAAAGGCAGAAAAAAAAAAAAGCAGAAGTGATACGGACAACATTCTGGTCGCCCCCGGCAACCAAACAGGAGATGGGTCACCAGAGCCAGGAAATCAGAGAACACGAAAATATCATGGGGACATTAAAAAAATACCTTGAAAAACCCTTGAGTTGACAAGAATTAAAAAAAAAAGGAAATGGGGACTCTGCAGAAATAGAAAGAAGATTCTGGGTCCACATTTGAGAAGGAGACAGACAGAGACATTGTGAGAGGGGGAGGGGCAGAGAGAGAGGGAGACACAGACTCTGAAATAGGCTCCGGGCTCCGAGCCGGCAGTCAGCACAGAGCCCGACGCGGGGCTCGAACCCACGAACCGCGAGATCATGACCTAAGCGAAAGTCGGACGCTTAACCGACTAAGCCACCCAGGCGCCCCCATGTGAGACGAGATTTAACCGGAAAACCATGCGATTATCCCCTCAGATCCCGAAGACGCACTGAATACTGAGTCCAGAACATGCTTACAGGGTTTTACATATAGACGGATTATTCGATGCCTGCCTTCTAGGGGATCAAATATTTCCATGTAGAAAAAACCCCCATAAAAGTGTTAGAAGAAAACATGAGGGGCTCTTTTCAGAGATTTTATTTATTTTACTTTTAATTTTTTAATTACGTTTTTGAAAGAGAAAGAGAGTGAGAGGGGCAGAGAGAGACGGAGACAGAGTCCAAACCAGGCTCCAGGCTCTGAGCTGTCAGTACAGAGCCCAACTCATGAACCGTGAGATCGTGACCTGAGCTGAAATCGGCCACCCAACTTGACTAAGCCACCAAGGCGCCCCGAGAATTTATTTTTAAGAAATCATTACACAGATCATGGGGCTCAAACTCACAACCCTGAGATCAAGACTCACGTGCTCCACTGGCCAAGCCAGCCAGCCGCCCTGAGGATTTTTAAAAGAAAAAAAATGTCCGTACGGTTGATGTTTTTCTAAGTAAAACAGAAAGCCCAGAAACCATTCACAAATTTCACTACGTAAAGATAATAAAAATGAATGGAGAAAACACTTCACAGTTAAATGCTTAAAAATAAAGAAAAAAAAAAACACCTTACTTGGTACCTACTTCACAGCCAAAACAGCACTATTTGCAATATGTAAAGAGTTTCCACGTATCAATAACAGGATCAATAACGCATATAAAAACGTGCAACGAGGGACGCCTGGGTGGCTCAGTCGGTTAAGCGTCCGACTTTCGCTGAGGTCATGATCTCGCGGTTCATGGGTTCGAGCCCCGCGTTGGGCTCTGTGCCGACAGCTCAGAGCCTGGAGCCTGTTTCAGAGTCTGTGACTCCCTCTCTCTCTGACCCTCCCCTGCTCATGCTGTCTTTCTCTCTTTCTCTCTCCTAGAAATAAATAAAAAATATATTAAAAAAAATGTGCAACGAGGGGTCCCTGGGTGGCTTAGTCGGTTAAGCGTCCGACTTGGGCTCAGGTCATGATCTCGCGGTTCGTGGGTTCGAGCCCCACGTCGGGCTCTGTGCTGACAGCTCAGAGCCTGGAGCTGCTTCAGATTCTGTATCTCCCTCTCTCTCTGACCCTCCCCTGCTCACGCTGTCTCTCTCTCCTAGAAAAAAAAATAAAACATTAAAAAAAAAAAAAGTGCAACAGGCATTTTCGAATGGTTCCCCAGAAATGGAGACGAAATGAAGAAGACACACATTCCCAACCTCACCTGTGTTAATAGACGTGGAAACTAAAACCACTGATTAGATACCGTGTTTTCAACTAACAGTTTGGGAAAACCATAAAGCCAGTAGGGCGTTGGGGGAGATTTCAGACGTCACTGAGAATATCATGAATTTGCACAAGCTATACGAAGACGATCAGGCAGTCCCCATCAACAAGTTCACAGGCACACGCCCTTTGGTCTAGGAACGCCGACCAGACATTCGTTTTCACGTCCGTGTGACCTTGACATGAACTGCATCCGGTGTGAACTTGAATCTACAAAGATGGGCACCCACATTCCATAAAAAAAGGCCTCGTTAACGTCTCTCGTACACGTATATGTTTATTTATGAACGAGTCATGGTTTTACATACCTTTAAAAAAAATACCCACGGTCCACTCTTCTCTTCTTTAAGGAGACATTTATGCTCATAGCATGACTGCAATGCTTGTCAAACCGTCAGTGTTATTCACAGAGTTACAGAGAGATTTTAGGCGATTTTTCTTCTTACTGTAAAGCGAGTCTATGTACACAACCTGACGTTGAAGGCTCGTTTGGGAAGAACGTGGATACTTCTGTGCTGTTTGTAAACCTAGGTGTCGTGTGCTCGTTAGCACCGGGACCCAGCCCTCAGCCCCTTGACGACGGGTCGGTCCCAACACTCGACATGTGTGTGTTAGGTCCTCTGAAACACACACTGCCCTGTTCACTTCTGTACATGCCTGAGCCATCAGGTAGGGGGCAGGGCGGAGGGACGTCTAATAGGTGTTTGTTGAATGAATTAATGGAGGCATCGGATAAATAACCAGGGGTCTCAACCATTTTTCTTTTCTTTTCTTTTCTTTTTTAACCATTCCACAAACCGAAAGGTTACCAAACTGTCAGAGACAGGAAAGTTAAAAGGAAAATAGCCAGACCGTGCTTTCCATCCCCAGAACATCACAATTTCTGCACTTGATGAGATTAAGACAACAATCTCGACGAAGCCCTTCTGGAATGTATATAAAGGTATGCATACCAGCAGCCTTCCAGAAACCATGCGGGGAGGGTTTCTCGATGTAGAAAAGTCATTGTTTATTTCGAGGAGGAAGAGTGTGCTTTCCGTTCATCTCAAGCTGTTAGGAAATAGGTCAGGAGATCCCCCCTTGGTCACAAAGCAGTCCTACCCCAACGTTAAAGGGAGCTTTCACATCAAAGCAGTTGAAACATTTTGTAAAGACGTTACAGTTAACACATTCCCACACCCCCCCAAAAAACATATGGAAGATCTAGGGGAGTATCTGATGCTGGGGAGTATCTGGATATGAAGTATCTAATGAAGGGGAGTATCTGAATACAAAGGATCTACTAGTGGAGAGTATCAGGATACAGGGGAGCAGCTGATGGAGAGGAGTATCTCGAAGCAGGGGAGTCGCTGATGGAGGGGAATATCTGATGCAGAGAAGTATCTGAGTACGAAGTATCTAATACAGGGGAGTATCTGGATACAAAGGAATATCTGAATACAGAGAAGTATCTCATGCAGGGGAGTATCTGAATATGAAGATTCTACTACAGGTGAGTATCTGGATACAGGAGAGTATCTGAATAGAGTGGACTATCTCAACGCATGGGAGTATCTGAATAGAGAGGACTATCTCAATGCATGGGAGTACCTGACTATGAAGAACCTACTACGGGTGAGTATCTGGATACAGGGGAGTATCTGCAGGGAGCACCTGATGGAGGGGACTATCTGGATGCATGGGAGTATCTGAATAGAGAGGACTATCTGGATGCATGGGAGTATCTGAATATGAAGAACCTACTACGGGTGAGTATCTGGATACAGAGGAGTATCTGAATGCAGGGAGTATCTGATGGAGGGGACTATCTGGATGCATGGGAGTATCTGAATAGAAAGGAATATCTCAACGCTCGGGAGTATCTGAATACAAAGGAATATCTCAACGTAGGGGAGTATCTGAATACAGAGGAGTATCTCATGCAGGGGAGTATCTGGACGCTGAGAAGACTTCGTCCCCGATGTACCAAGACCAGTGGAGGGAAACAGGGGCAAAAGAGAAATGCCAAAACCAAAGGGCTACCCTTGGGTCGATCGTTTGTTTCCCACACCCCAGGAGGGAGACCGCGGGGTCTGTGGCACTACTTTCTGCAGCCTTCACGAGTCACCCCATGGCAATACATTTAAGGAAAAAGTCCTTGGTTCCTTATTTCTTTTTAATTAGTCTGAGCTGAAAAAAAAAGACGCCTAGTAAATGAAGGACTAATTAGGGCACTAACTGAAGTCTGGTGTCGCTGTCTCAAAGGGTCAAGGCCAGGGAAGGTTCCGTTTAATCCACACGTAATTTGTAAACCGGTCCAGAGCTCCCGGCGGTGGGGGGAGGGGGGGACAGGGAAGGGGGGACTTCAGTGGGGTCAGGATTCAAATGACTTAGTGATGGATGGTCGGCCTTTCGCACCCCGCGGGGGAACCCATAGAGGCCACGGGTGAGCTGTGTGCAAGTCCCCCCGAACCAACACACGGTGTTAGTCGTCGTATTCTACCCAGCGCGGAGCAAACAGGCAAACACACATGTCAAGGTTAACTAGACAGAGTCCCAACGTGAGCGCAGGCGTGGGCAGCTGGGGGCTGGATCCCGCATCGAGGCCGGCTCTGCCCTGGGGCAGATATTTGCTGGGAAGACGCAGCAGGCGTGCGTTGGTCTCCTGCTGGGAACACGGGGGCTGCTTTCCAGGATGCGTAGCTTCTATTTCTCCAGAAGGGAACACTGAGCTGCAAACAGGCAAGGAAATAAAAAGAGTTTGTAAGGCAGTCGTGGCTCACCCGTGACTGTCTACTCCGTAAATCCCTCAGAACCAGGTGCCTCTGTGCCTACAGACTATACATGACCCCGAAATACAGCATCAACGGAAACAGAGACCCTGATGTGCTTGAGAAAAAAATTTAAAGTTTATGGTACAATCAACTCCAGCAAAAAACAATAAAACAAAACAAAACAAAAAAGACAAAGAAGCTACAAAAAAATTTCAAGAAAAGACAAGAAACATGAGAAAGCATTTTCATTTTTTGAAATTAGAAAAATTTTTTAATGTTTATTTTTGAGAGAGAGAGAGAGAGAGAACAAGTGAGTCAGAGACAGAGAGAGAGAGGGAGACATAGAATCTGAAGCAGCTCCAGGCTCTGAGCTGTCAGCAAAGAGCCCAGCATGGGGCTCAAACTAATGAACCGTGAGATCATGAACTGAATTTAAGTTGGACGCTCAACCGACTGAGCCCCCCAGGCGCCCTGAGAAGGCATTTTCCACCAGCAACTTCTCCGAGATACCCCCGACTATCCACGATCCGCCTAATTTCACAATCCATCATTTTCTTAACCAGCCTCAGTGCTTTGCATGATTTTAAAAAATGACTTGAGGGCTAAGATTTTTCTCGCCATTTATGCTTCAGAGTCGTGCATTTTGGGGGGTGCTTACAAACAACAGCTCATTTTACCCATCTCTCCACAATTTGGAGAGACTGGGCGGCTCAGTCGGTCGACCATCTGATTTCAGCTCAGGTCATGACCTCGCGGTTCGTGGGTTCGAGCCCCGCGTCGGGCTCTGTGCTGGCAGCTCGGAGCCTGGAGCTGCTTCGGATTCTGTGTCTCCCTCTCTCTCTGCCCCTCCCCTGCTCTCTCTCCCTCTCAAAAATAAATATTTAAACATTAAAAAAAAAAGTCCCCTTGACCTGCTTCTGCACCAGGTTTCGAGAATTCTGCACAAGGGATCGTAACGAACAATGGCGTCCCAGAGGAGGGACCTTAACCCTATGCTGCCATCAGCGGGCAGACTTCCCGAGTCTGCATTAACGGGGAGGGAGGGGGGCACCGGGGAGCCAGGACAGGGCGGGACATAACTCAGAGAGGCCAGCGGCCGGGGCTCACCGGGTTGGTCTGAGCTCGCGCTCTGCTGGTGCTTCGTGCTTGAGTCACCTTGCTCGGCTGAAAGGAAGCAAAGAGAACACCCAAGAGGTGACTTCGGAGACGGCCCCTCCGCATCCCCATCAGGCTGTGTCCACCCCCAGCGCCCCCCCCGCCCCCCACACCAACGGCAGCAGGAAAGACCCAGACGCACGTGCACCCGGGGAGCCCCATCCTCAGGGGGCCCGTGGGGTCCTCCTGGCTTGCTGTTAGCTCTTCTTCTCCATCATTTTTGTAATTTTCCAAATTTCCATTTCTATGCAGCAAAGCAGACTCGATCGTGCCCCCCAGAACCCCAGAACGCCCCCCCCCAGGAATATCCAGCCCAAGTGGACAGAATTCCACACACGTCATAGCTTCACAGGCAAAAAGCGTTTATTCGCGCACGGGGGCCTCGCTCAGGAGCGTGGGGTGCGGGCTCTCGGCGGCAGAGGGGGCCTGAGGAGTCACACGGGTCACACACACGCTCACGCCGGGGCGGGGGTGCGCGTGCAGGAAACCCCACGCCGCCCTCCCGCCGTCCCCCAGCCCCGAAGCCGACCCCAGTCGGGAGCGGATCCGTCAGGGTGGCGGTCACAGGCGGCCGCTCCAGCCACGTGTCGGGAATGCCCCGGAAACATCCGTGACACGCACGAGGGCGACCTCGGCTCGTGCCAGGAGGCCAGCTTTGCAGGAGGCTCTGAAGGCATCGCGATCGGGGGCTGCGGTCCGAGGGGGCACACAGCGGGCGTGTGCTCTCTGGGACCGGGGGGTGAGTCCTGCTCCCCAAAATCTGCACGCAGGGGCGGGGCGGCGGCTGTAGCCGAAATGTGGCCCAGGTGGTGCTGCTGGCCGTGACTCACACGGGCTCTGTCACACCCCGGGCGGCTCCCCACACCTGGGTCCAGCCGGCTGCAAACATGTCTCCCCGGAGATCAGTGCGGCCACTTGTCGCTGTTGAAGCCACTGGAGAAACTGCAGCTTTGGGGGTGGGGGTCTCCATGCCCGGGGGCTATTTACAGAACCCAGATCACGGCGGAGCAGCCCTGGGGAGCACGGCCCAGCACTGAGGACCTCCTTCTTGGGGCCACGTGGACGCTCCACTCAGACGCCCCACCGTGCAAGCGGAGAAAGAAGCTTTGTTCTAGAAGAACCCAGAAACCTGCAAATATGGCCTCCGATGAGCTAGCGGAAGGCTGACCTCTAGGAGAAGGGCATTGACAGACCCCAGCACAGCCCTCAAACCCACATCCCACGGCCCACCCCCGACCCCCAAAACCCGCCAGCATTCAGGCCCGCACATCACCCCACGGCCCATCCCAGCCCCGGGGACTGACGCGGCATGAGCTCGGAAGCAGAACAGCGATGTCTACGCCCAAGGAACCGGGGTGCGGAAACGTGGCGAATGCAAGAAAAATCTCACGTTTACGGGAACAGTCGAGGAGGCAAATTCCAGCCCTTCCGGACTGACGCCAAGATTCTAACATCGTGACGTTTTCAGGGTGTCCCTAAACAAGAGGGTTTTTCTCTTTTCCCCTCCCCCCGAGAAGGGGGGACAGTCACCCATCTTACAAAGAGCGGTCACAGAGAAATCTGGAAACTGCCTCCGCGGACACGGAGAGGCCAATGCAGCACAAAACCCCACAAGCTGCAAACTCGGAGGTTACAAATTGTAGGAAAGATAAGACCCTCCAGCCATGATGCCCTTGCGGTCCAGCCCAGCCCGATTCACACGCAAACAGGAACCTGGCGGTCAGGATCGTGGCGATGCATTAAAGCCCACCCCTCACCCCGCCCACCACTCTTCTCTTTCCGGGCTCTGCGTCTTAGCGCACCAACACTGATCGCACTGCACCGTCTTCGAGCCTGCACGGGGTTTTCTGCTCATGCCTATATCCCCGGCTCATCTGAAACGAAAGGGTGAAAAACGACAGAAAGAACAAAGAAGAAAAACAAGAAAGGTAAACGTCGCCGAGGCTGGTTTGAGGCGTGTCCGTCAAAGCGCCAAGCAGCAGCCTCCGGTCTTAAAAAGACACTCTCGGGGCTCAGAAGTAGAGCAGGTGTTTCAGACTTGTGGTTTCCAGCGATGCTTAAACACCAGAGCGCGACGGGAAACTCGAATCCGAGAGGAAACCAAAATCGGGGAGGGGAGGGAGGCAGCCACGCCCCAAACGTCTGCTACCAAGGCGGGACACGGGACAGACCACGCGGACATGTCGGTGAGCAACGAGAATCAGCCACCATGCACGAGGAAGGACAGCAGCGCGCGTGCGAAGCTCACACTCCGTGCCGTTCGCCACTCAAACCACCACAGCGAACCAGAAAGATGCACATCGACCGCAAGCCCACGTGCAACACGGATCTAACAGGCCAGCCTGCACCATTTGGAGGAAAACCACATTCCACGCTTAGCAACACATCCAAATCGTTAGGACCAAAGGACAGATCTACCAAATTTCGTCGGCCGTGGATACTTTTCTCAGCATCAGCTCAGACCGTGATACTAAAAAGCACTTAAATAAAGTGATATCGGGGCACCTGGCGGGTCACCTGGGTGGCTCAGTCGGTTAAGAATCTGACTTCGGCTCAGGTCATGATCTCACGGTTCGTGAGTTCGAGCCCCGCGTCGAGCTCTGTGCTGACAGCTCGGAGCCTGGAGCTGCTTTGGATTCTGTGTCTCCCTCTCTCTCTGCTCTTCTTCTGTTCACACTCTCTCACTCAAAATTAAATAAATGTTAAAAATTTTTTTTTTAAAAATTGGCATCAAGACTGCTAGTATGTAATCCATGCACGTCCACATTGAGAGACACTTCGGGTTGTACCCACTTGCTCGAGACTGACCGTCATGCAGATTCAAGAGACACGACAAAATTCAACGCAATGACAAAGTCCTGGAAAATCACATTCTTTAAAAACAGCCACAAACCGTGGTATTTCTTCCACCACTGGGTCATGCTGTGGCCACACCCTCCTTGTGAAATGTCCAAGCCCACAGTGACAAATGGGTATACACTTCTTTAAGCAACCATCCCATCAAGAAAACCTATAACGGCCCTGCACAGACCCCCGAAAGGTGTAGGGTCTTGCATGCCCGATGCCCGGATCCAACGCTTCCATTCCACCTCTGTTCATAGAAAAGGAAGTTCATCCCATAACACAGGTTGAAACACCAAAATGTCTATTCACAGACTCAGAAAAGAAACTCCTCTGCATTAACATCTTGCGGCTTATAGGAAAATAGCACCTAATTTTCTTTGTCATAACACGGGGCAAATTATGGCTAAAGACAAAAGCGCCTAATGACTGAAATCAGAACCACCACTTCCTTTACTTGTTATGCTTTGCCTCTTTCCTTTGCTTCTTTTTTTTTTTTTTGTCTTTTCCTTTGTGCATCTACATCAGCTAAGATCATGAACCCCATAAAAAGCAGAAAGCAAATCAAGATTGTAAAGATTGTATAGTCGCCCCCAATGCTAATTTGGCTCATGCAGGGTAGAATGACATTCTTGGGAAACGAATTTAGCTAGCTCCTCACTAGTACACATTGACTCACAGACTGACCTCAGTCTATTCTTTGGGAAAGGATGCTTTTATTTTTGAAAATTGTAAATTCAACTATTTCTACCTGGGAAGATTTCAATTTTCATACCATGCAATGACCAAAATGTTCCAAGACCCAAGAACGGGGTGCGGAGGATGGAGAACACTCAGTTTTCCAAGGTCCTGATCCCATTTCAAATACTGGACAACGTCAAGTCCATGAAGATTCTTGGGTACTTCCCCAAGTCCCTGTGGTTTTGGCATATGGAGGCCAAATGGCACTATAACGTCTACACAAGGTGACAGAAATACTTTATGACACCAGAGTCTGATGGGATTTGGAAACCCAGTTTGGATTTGAAGATCACCTACAGATTTTCAAAAAATCATTGTGCCTGTACTTTTCATGCATTCTTCCCTAGAAGGCGTAGCCACGCTCTGAGCAGAGCGTCTTCACAGACTGGGGCAGAAATGAAGTTGAAACAGAAACACAGATTCATGTCCTCAGAATCCCCACCGATTTAGCCTTTCTACTACTTCCGGGAAAGCAAGAGAACAAAAGGTGTTTTGACTGGCTTCTCTTCTCTCATTTCTCATTGCACGCCTTTTAAGCATATTTCCTTGACCTTGACCATCTGTCTATTTGGGCACATCCTTGAACCTGACCATCTGTCTACTTGGACATATCCTTGACCTTGGCCATCTGTCCATTTGGGCACGTCCTTGACCTTGACCATCTGTCCACTTGGGCACGTCCTTGACCTTGGCCATCTCTCCATTTGGACATGTCCTTGACATTTGCCATCCACCCATTTAAACATGACCTTGGCCATCTGTCCACTGGGCACGTCCTTGACCTTGGCAATCTGTCTACTTGGGTATCCTGGACGTTCAACATTTAGGCAACCAAGCACAGTTTCCTGAACACCCTTGATGGAAGGCACCCGTCACATGTGGTAAATAGACATAATCAGGCACCCTTACCCTTTGCTGCAAGAAGAGGGTAAGGGTACTATTATCAACTCTCAACGTCAGGCTATATATAGAGTCTGTGAATCTAAAAACCTAGAATGATGGGAGACTAAGGGTAGACTCCCATCCTATAGTCTAACTGTGTATCGCCACCTAATGACATCTTTTGTGAAGTTCCCCAGAGTCCTCAGGCACCATGGTCCTTCAGGATGGAAGTCAACCTCTAAGAATGAATATGGACTTGAGACCACCAGGAGGTAGAGAAGTTCAGGCATCACGAGGCTCCTCCAAGGAGGAGTGGCATCCACAGTCCACGGGACCTTTGAAACCACATCGGAGCCCACCCCTCATTAGTCTTGCAAGAGGGCAAACAAGATCTGGGCAGAGTGACCCAGAGGTGCATGAACGTGAGCTATGTTCAAAATAGAACTTACTGACGTCCCAGCAAATCCCACGTAATTCAGGGACTCTTGTATATACGGTCCCGAAACACCCAACGATGGAATTCCAATCCCTATGTCAGTGAGCGTGGCATCGTCTACATTCACCTATAAATTTTATATCCCATCCAAGAACCCTCCCTACTATCTGTCAGTATGGGGTTGTACCAGAAAGGGAATCAGTTGCCCTGTGTTTCGATTTTTAGTTCCCTTGGGTGGAGAAAACAATATGGCGGCCCCCTAGCCATGGCTCTTGTCCTAAGAATGAGGAGGATGACAGTGATTATAAGTAACGATGAACAAACATTTCTAAGTCCTAATATTTCTTCAACCGGCCCATCAAGACTCACTCACAACCTTATATATCGTCACAAAAGTCCAGTGGCGTGCAGACGATCATCTCCTTGCTTCCCAGGCCGAAAACCCAAAAAGACGGGGGTGGTTAGTGACTTGCAAAATTTACACAACTCCACACGGGCCGCGCTGGAACGGAAGCGACAAAGTCTGATTCCAGGATCGCAACGATTTCCTGAAGTCTCAGCTGCCTCACACGTGTCTCATGCCAAACAGACTTCCGGTTTGTTTTAGTTTTAAGAAAGCACAGATTTCAAGTCAGTAAGACATGAAAGAAAGGAAGCGATTGCAAAACCTTACCATTTTCTTTGAAGCACAATTTTTTCTTCTGGTAGGCGATAAAGCTAGAAATTGCCCCAGCCACGGCCATCACGACGGCCCCGATGATGCCAGGGACCACGCCGGGGGAGTCAGCTGCGGGAAGAAGCAGAAGCCACCATTACTGGGGACCCCGTGACCACAGGATGACCGTGGAGGAAACCCCACTCCTGACCACTGCCCGACTCCCACCTCCAATCCCTTTGCAAGACACGAAGGGCCAGCCACGCTGCTCCCCAAAACTCCCAACTGGAAATGGAATTTGTTGGACTACGTGCACCATTTTGGATGTAAAAGTGGTTTCCAGTAGACGTCACAGTCTGACTCCTCCCCATCCCTAAGTCCAGAGCTGGGGTCCCAACAGTTCAACGTGGAAGGTCTCGGGTGAGGCAACATGGCCCACCATGCGTGGTGCCTCTCTGGGACCAATCCGAGGCCACGTGGCATGTACCAGACACCCCGCTCTAGGACTCAAGGGATAACGGTGCGGTGGTTAGCGCTGTCCGCTTGACTGGGCTGAGTGGTGCCCACTCAGTTGGGAGAACATTCCTACGGGTGTGTCCATACGGGTGTGCTCAGACAAGATGCACCACTGAATCTACAGATGAAGGGAAGCAGGTGGGCCACCCCATGAGGATGGGCATCGACCAATCCACTGAGATGGAGTTGGAGCGATGAGCCCCCATCGTCTGCTCCCCTTGCACACGGGCATTCCTGGCTCTTGGCATGTTAGACCCAGGCAGGGACGTGCCCCAGTCCTTTACACTGGGGCTGAACCACCCCAATGCCTGTCCTGAGACTCCAGCTTGCAGAAGGCAGCCTCCATAGTCACGTGGGGCCATTCCTCACGATCGATCTCTTTCTGTGGATCCATACCTACGTCGATAGATAGGTAGATCCCAATGGTTCTGTTTCTCTGAGGAACCCCGGGTAAGGCAGAAGGTTTTCCTTCTCAGGGCGCCCTGCGAAGATGAACTTAAAATGCAGGACACTTCGGCACCCCCTTGCGGAGTCTGCAAAGGAGCGCCAACCAGCTCTTCGAGCTGAGCGCTAGGGGCGTGTGCAGCACACACCAATCGCGCTCTGATGCCCAGCATCGTTAGAACGACAGAGCCGGCATTACAGGGTGGCCTTGACCACTGCCTTCCGCTTTTTCTCAATAGCGCGTAGAAGAATCTCAAGGCATCAGAAGCCAGCTGTACATACCCTGTTCCTCCCCCTCGGGCCTCTGGCCGCCGCCGCCGCCGCCGCCGCCGCCGCCCCCTGCAAGGGAGAAACGGGCAGGCAGACAAGTTGCATTGGGCAGATTTTTGGTAGAGAGAAACTCACTCCAAGGATCGACTCCTGGGACCTTGAGTTCTGAAGGGAACTTAGAAATGACCCGTTCTTTCCCTTTGTTCAGTGGAGACGCCCCGCTTGGCTACAGGTATCTTCGGACTTGCTCTCGTGTGCCTGACACCCTGGCTCAGCTCCTGACTCAACCACCCCTCCCGTGATGGACTCCGGGAGACCCGGTGAGTCCTGGTGGCCTCAGGGATTCTGGCCTCTCTCGCTGGGCTCAGCAAGGATCCCAGCCAGGACCTTGGAGCCCACCTGAGACCCGGCCTGTGGCTATGAGGACATTCCTGTGGACTCCCCGGATATGAGCAACACAAGGGGATTAGAGGAGTCAACTCCCTGTACGGTTGACAATCCGTGTACTTGGGCTCCTGGGTGGCTCGGTCGGTTAAGCGTCCAACTCTTGATTTTGGCTCAGGTCAAGATCTTACGTTTCATGAGACTGAGCCTCAAGCTGGGCTCTGCGCTGACAGCACGGAGCCTGCTTGGGGTTTTCTCTCTCTCTCTCTCTCTCTCTCAAAATGGGTGCATGAAATTAGAAAGAAAAGAAAATCCGTGTACAATTTTTTGTTTCCCAAAAACTTAACTACGAATAGCCTACCGCTGACAGGAAGACTCACTGATGGCGTGAACGGCTGTATACACCCATACCGTATGTTCTATGCGTTACACACCGTGTTCTCACAATAAAGTGAGCAAGAGAAAAGAAAACGTAATTGAGAAAATCGTAAGGAAGAGAAAGGACACTTGCAAGACCGTGCTGTACTTACTGAAATAAAGGCACATGTAAGTGGACCTGGAGACATCAAACCTGTTTTGTTCAAGGGTCAATGGCTGTACGTTAAGACAACGTACGTGTAAATGGAATAAACACATATAAATATAATCTAATTACTATAAACACATACATTACTCTATTTACTTTATATTAATATTTTTACTTGTTTATGTAATATGCATTATACTTAAGAACTGTTTTGTACCCTACTCCAACCTAAGATTTTAAAAAGAGAGGTGGGGGGGGGGGTGGCTCAGTCGGTTAAGCATGCGACTTCGGCTCAGGATATGATTTCGTAGTCTATGGGTTCGAGCCCCGCGTCGGGCTCTGTGCTGACAGCTCGGAGCCTGGAGCTGCCTCCGATTCTGTGTCTCCCCCTCTCTCTACCCCTCTCCCGCTCACGCTCTGTCTCTCAAAAATAAATAAACATTTAAAATTTTACAAAAAGACAGAGAGGTGGAAAATCAGCTTTTCTAATTGTAATGTTGTCAACAAGGGACACAGGACTTGATTCTCAGGGCTTTCATTTCTACGGCTCATTAAATAATGTACGGGAAGACATGTCATTGGGACACCAAATAATCACCAACGGAACAGGTGGTTGAGGCTTCTAGGAAATGTCAGGAAGCACCTGTTTCGCTGGCTTCCAGCCCCGTGTATAGTGGGTAGTTTCCTGACCTGTTCACACAGCTCCTGGGGACCAGCCCCCACGGGGCACATCTTACGCCCCACACCCTTGATGCCTCTGCAAATGGTGGGGATCGGGAAGAGATTTCTAAGCAGCTGACTGCGATTTCACTGGGAGCTCAGACCCTAGACCCCGCCGTGATTCTGCACAACGGGTGGACGACAGGGAGGAAAGAGAAGAAGCCATGTCATTGTACCTCCGTCGGAAGCTCCGTCCAGGAGATCGGAATCTGAAAAGCCACCTACGAGAGAAAAACACAGTGTCATTTGCCATCCTGGGACTCTCAGAAGGGTCTCGATGTCTCAGAATGAAAGAAAACACCGTTAGGATCAAAAGCCAAGCAGGGGCAGGGGGAACCCAAAGGCGATTCTATTTTATGGAAGAAGTGTCTCAAGTACACAATGCTGATTTAATTCCCAATTCTATTTTAAACTCCTACAGTTAGCCTTACCAAAAACTCTGCTACAGAGCCTGAAAAACATACCGAAAGAAATGGAAAGCAGATATCAATCTTTTGGACGAATATAAATGAAATGATCCCAAAGGAATCTCACTAACGGCCCTAAGTTTTCACCCTCCCGGTGACGGGTGGCATGTTTTGTTCACGTCTCGACTCTGGACTCAGCCACGTGACTGCGTTTGGACAACGGTAAGTTGGCAAAATGGAAGCCATGTCAATATTTTAAAGTAGCCTCTGTCAGGGTGGATGGTCTTGCCCACTGAGAGGGGCTCACAAAAAGCCACTCATCCCAGCTGAGGTCACCCAGACAAACCAACCCCAGAAGACCCACCCACTGACCACAGACACGTGACAGCCACACCGAGATCTGTCATGAGACAGAACAATTTAAAAATTTTAAGCTACACTGCATTCGGGGACAGTTTGTTACACAGCAAAAACTAGCTGATACACATTAAATTTAATGCATCAATTTCATGAAACCTATCACGACAAAGTACAGCTTATTCCACAAAGCCAAAGATGTATTCTGTAGAAGGACATCTTTCAGTATACAGTGTCATACTCAGGGGTTACAAGAAAAAAAATATGACCACGTGCATTGATGAGCACACGGCCCTGATAAAACTTAACATGTTCTGGGTTTTCTAGCCAAGGCAAAATGATTGAAATACAAAAGAAAGAAAAGCAAAAATATAAATATAAAAAATCAAATATATATATACACATATATATGTGTGACTTAAGAAGTCATTTGCAAGTAATACGCTCTTTTCATAAAAGCTAAAAAAACAAGGCAAAATTATTTAGCAGGTAATAAGGATTCATCATTGCGTGCCTAGTGAGGAACAATGTACCAAATTCATTCTAGGTTATAGAAATGAGCCACAAAATAATGGGCTTTAAATGTGTCCACAGAAACAAATAAAAAAACGGGAAAACAATTTGAAAATACATTTATGGGAATCATAACGAGAAAAAAAGTACAGAAAATGGAACCCAAACCAAAAAGGTCAATTTGGCAAATGGGCCTCACTCTCCAAATTAATTTTTCATTGGAAACAATTCAAATGAAAATAAAAGGAGAGTTTTATTTCTCCCGAGAGGGATACAGGACAATGGCTTAACGATTCTGAAGTTAAAAGGAAAAAACAAAGAGCCACAAAGAAGTAGAGAAACCATTGAAGCCATAAAGACCCTACAGGGGAAACACACACACACACACACACACACACACAGACACGTTTAAAGTCTCATTTGCCAAAAAAACAAAAAACAAAAAAAAAAAAAACGAAAAAACAGTTAAAAACACCCAATGGTGAAAGTAAGCGGAGAAATGTTCTTATAACAAATGACTGGAAATAACATCTGGAAGTGATGAAGTGACCTTCTCGATCCGTAAGGAAATGCCGCCCATCCGAAATTATAAGACTGACCAGAGACACTGGCAACCTGCGCACAAAAGAGAAGCCGCCGGTGGCCAGTGGCCACACCAAATTTATTTCCTTTCATTTCAGAACCAAAGACGTGAATTCCAGCCACGGGCCACGTGGCCACGCCTTTCACACGAAACATCGGACAGACTTTTTCGGGTGACAGCGACCTGTCTCGGGGACCGTGCACAGAAGGGACGCACATTTGCACACACCGCTGGATGGCGGTACATCGGTCCGATTTTAAGAAGCGTCAGAAACCATAGCACACAGTGACCGAACGAGTCTGGCGTCCACAACCTGTTTTAAGGAGTAGAAAAGAAAAGGCACGCAAGTGTCTGAAGATTGCTCTGTGGATCGTAATTCTCAGGGATCCACACAAACACAATATTTTCGGCATTAGGGATTAATTGCCACAGCACGAATGCCACTAAAAGTCACAGGATAAGCAACCACATGCCATGAAACATTAGTGAGATATTAATAAACACAAAATAAGGTTCGGAGAGTACGAAGGAAAGATAGACATTTATACTTAGAATTCTGTTCATTTAAACTTATGTGAATTGGGGGTGCCCAGGGGCTCAGGCGGTTGAGTGTCTGACTCTTCATTTCGGCTCCGGCCACGACCTGGGTCATGGTCTGCTGGTTGGTGAGGTTGAGCCCTGAGTCGGGCTCTGGGCTGACAGCACGGAGCCTGCGTGGGGTTCTCGCGCCTCCTTCCTCTCAAAATAAATAAACTTAAAAAGTAAATTTAGGGGCGCCTGGGTGGCTCAGTCGGTGAAGCGTCCGACTTCGGCTCAGGTCATGACCTCGCGGTTCGTGGGTTCGAGCCCCGCGTCGGGCTCTGTGCTGACAGCTCAGAGCCTGGAGCTGCTTCGGATTCTGTGTCTCCCTCTCTCTCTGACCCTCCTCTGCTCACGCTGTCTCTCTCTCCATCAGAAATAATAATTTTTAAAAAAGTAAAAAAAAAGTAAACTTATGTGTAAAGTCCTGGGGGAGCATAACTACCAAAATGTTGATGTTCGTACAATATGAAGAATATTTACATTTGTATTGGGTTAAAAGTTAAACATAAAATAAAGTAAAATATAAAATGAAATACAGGAAAATGAAGCAAAATAAAATGAAATACAGTAAAATAAAGCAAAATAAAATAAAATATAAAGTAAAATATAAAAAATAAAATACAGTAAAATAAAGCAAAATAAAGCACAAAATAAGATAAAATAAAGCAATATAAAATTAAGTTTAAAAAATAAAGTAAAATAGAGCAAAATAAAATATAATACAAAATAAAATAAAATACAGTAAAATAAAGCAAGATCAAATAAAATATAAAGTAAAATATAAAATAAAAAAAAATAAAATACAGTAAAATAAAACAAAATAAAATAAAGCACAAAGTAAAATAAAATAAAGTAAAAGAAAAATAAAATACAATGAGGGGCTCCTGGGTGGCTCAGCCGGTTAAGCGTCCGACTTAGGCTCAGGTCATGATCTCATGGTTCTTGGGTTCGAGCGCCGCGTTGGGCTCTGTGCTGACAGCTCGGAGCCTGGAGCTGCTTCAGATTCTGTGTCTCCCTCTCTCTCTGCCCCTCCCCTGCTCATGCTCGCTCTCTCTCTCTCCCTCTTTCCCAGAAATAAATAAAAAACATTAAAAAATAATAATAAAATAAAATACAGTGCAGTAAGGCAAATAATAAAATACAAAATAAAATGAAATAAAGTAAAATAGAAAATAATACAGTAAAATGAAGCAAAATAAAATGAAATACCGTAAAATAAAGGAAAATAAAATAAAACATAAAGTAAAAAAATAAAACAAAATAGGGGCGCCTGGGTGGCTCAGTCGGTTAAGCGTCCGACTTTCGCTCAGGTCATGATCTCGCGGTTCGTGGGTTCGAGCCCCGCGTCGGGCTCTGTGCTGACTGCCAGCTCGGAGCCTGGAGCCTGTTTCAGTCTGTGACTTCCTGTCTCTCTGACCCTCCCCTGCTCACGCTGCCTCTCTCTCTCCTAGAAATAAATAAAACATAAAAAAAAAAATAAAGTAAAATATAAAATAAAATACAAAAAAAATGAAATAAAGCAAACTATGATAAAAAATAAAACAAAACAAAATACCGTAAAATGAAGCAAAATAAAATATAAAATAAAATAAAAATTAAACAAACGTAAAGCACGAAACCACTCAGAATCTGAGGTCTCAACAGCCACTGGATTCGCACGACAGGAGCCCAAATACACAGGGATGTGTCAGAAAGAGGCAAAAAGGTTTTTTTGGGTTTTTTTTTTTTTTTTTAAATAGTAGCTTCACTGGAGGGAAAACAGAAGCCGATACTTTTCTGCAAACCCATTCTGCAGATTTAAAGTCTTACCGTGCGTTTTTGGAAGGGTCCATTCGACATTCGGAAGTAAAACCCAGCGACCCAAAAGTCACATCGAAGCCCGAAACGTTTTCGACATCCGTCTCCCACCCCTGGAGACCCGAGAGACCCTGCCCCCCGAGAGCCCACGTGCAGCCCACGCCACCCTGAACTTAGCCCCCTCGTGGAAGGGAGCCCACTGTTCTCTGAGAAAACGCCCGGCAGCCCTGAAGGGGAGGGGGCCTTACCAGAAGATCCAGGCTGTTTGGGGTCTGGGTTAGGCTTCGGTTTGGGGGGCTTGGGTGCTACTGGGTCGTCTGTCGGTGAAAGCAAAGCATTGTGTTTATGAGCACGTTGCAGTCAGAAGAAACACAACACACACACACACACACACACACACACACACACACACACAAAGCTCTTGGAGAGGGTGCGAAGGTGGCCATCGTGAGCAAGGTCGGCCGCACGGGGACTCGTGAAAGGGACTTACTGTTTCCTCCCCCAGCGACGGCATCTTCCAAATTGAAGTTGAAGTCGTCTGCAAGGGAAACGAGTCGTGAACCCTGAGGGTCCCGGGAGGAGTTCAGCTCCCTAAACAGGGAGAGGAAACCCCCACCTCCCTCCTCCAGACGCTTTTCCGAAACCCCCCCGTCGCCAAGGTCAGAAGAGAGGGGGCCTTGACCTCCTCAGACTCCTGACCCTTCAGATGAAAACGGCAACACACAAAGTCCCCCAAATGGAATGTCCAAGTCCACGGCCACGTCTCGGGGCTCTGGCGGTCGCACCCAGCGCCGGGCACGGAACTCTCACAAGAACCCAGGGTTCCGACAGCCCCGACGGAGGCTACTTTAAAATATTGACATGGTGGGGCGCCTGGGGGGCTCAGTCGGTTAGGCGTCCGACTTTCGCTCAGGTCACGATCTCGCGGTTCGCGGGTTCGAGCCCCGCGTCGGGCTCTGTGCTGACGGCCAGCTCAGAGCCTGGGGCCTGTTTCAGTCTGTGACTCCCTCTCTCTCTGACCCTCTGCTGCTCACGCTGTCTCTCTCTCTCTCTCCTAGAAATAAATAAAAATATTTAAAAAAAATATTGACATGGCTTCCATTTTGCCAACTTACCGTTGTCCAGACACAGTCACGTGGCTGAGCCCAGAGTCCAGACGTGAACAAAACATGCCAAAGTTTTTAGCATAAAAACGGTGAAGTTACTTCTTTTAAGGTGGAAGTATCAAGATAAACAGGTTTTCCAGGAAACACCTTTGCTCCCATAAAGACAAAACTAGTTCCTCAATCGGTTCCTTCCCGGGGGAGGGGAGGGGGATCAGCATATTCAAGGCCAGAAAATGCTCCAAGCAGAAACAATTGTGTTGGGGGTGGAGATCTGCCCTTAACTCTAAATTAGGCTTTGTCTCAGGGCCAGACTCAAGCCCCTTTTATTATGTTAACTCTTGGATCTGCAAGGCCCTTAGGAAGAGCCTTTTATCCACCATGTTTTCATCTGAAATCTCTTTGGAAAAGGCAGGGACGCGGCTTTCCTTCTGAGCAATCTGTGTGGGGAAGATCGGTCTGATCTGGATTATTGTGAGGCCTGGTCAATACCCGCAGCCTCACTTCCAACACGAGCCGGTAGTAGCAGAACGAGATACCACTTTTCGTTTCTCATGGCAGGAGCTGTGCAAACGCTGCCATTTCCTCGCTGTGACTGTCACCCGGCAGACAACACTCTACCCCACGCCCTTTGCACGCCTGTAACACTCAGGACGTCAAACTCAATGCCCCAGATGGCGGAGCGGGAGCCCACTTATTAAACAGACCTGTGAAATTAAACAAAAACGTAAAGAAACAATAAGGCCATCACACGGGCGCCCATTTTTGTCTCGATGGCCAACCAGCGACGCATCAGACCTTTGGGGAAGGACTCCTGGCTCATTTGGAAGGAGGAGCGACCAGAAAGGCCAGGCGTCCCCTACAGGCTGACCTGTGGGTTTGCTCACGGGGGTCTATGGGCACCTCAGCCCCGGAAATCGCTCCTCTTGGGAAGCAGATATCCTAAATCGGACCGAACGCATCCAGAGAGGCCGTCCCAACGACCCCAAGCATCCCCGAGAAACCTCAGCCTCGGTTTCTGCAGAGAAGTCATGGGGCCGAACGGGAACCAGTGTGCCTCCAGGGCCCCCGAACCCACGCGTCTGGACCAGCTCTCAGGGCCAATGGGGGGCACCGTGGGGTGTCTCTTACCCGCGCCGGGCTTCTTGGGGGGCGCCGTGGGCTTCTTGTCATTGTCTAAGGAGAAGACACATTTCGTCATCAAGACCCGCAGGTGCCACACGCCCTCAGCCCCCACGGATGCCCCACGTGCTTTCCACGGAGCTCAAGAAAGCCCAGAACATGGCGCTTCCGGATTCCTCCGGAAAGGGCCAGAATCCGCAGTGTGAATTCCGAGCCCCCGAGGACCCCCCCCCACATCCTCCCGTTAACAGGTGCAGGGCGTATGAATATGAAATTTTAAGAGCACTCACCGCCAAGGGCATCCGACAGATCGAAATCCTGGCCTACGAGGCAAAAAAACAAAGAAAAAGGTCTGGTTACAAACAAGAAACGTACAAATGTGAACCTTAAGAAAACACAAAGAACGGGCTTGACGTTTTTTGCTGGGTTTTGTGATTTGTCTCATTTCGTGGGTTTTCAGTACGCGGAGCTGGGGCTTCTCACGTGCTCCCCACGCCCGCCTTCGCGCCCCGGAAACAAAGACTTTGGGTGACGTTCCAATCGACGGCGATCTTACAGCAGACGCTCTCGAGTTCCCACGCGGGACGGAAAAAAGACGGACGCCCACGTCTCTGACCACACGGCCCAAATACGCTTCCCGCGGAAGCACCCGACAACCCAGAAGAACGCACAAAGTATTTCTTGGGCTCCTGGGGTCCCCGAAAGGAGGGGAAGCGCCCCAAAGTCCCTTGTTCTTTGATCCCGTAGCTGCTGCGCTGATTGAAACCACGTCAGCTCGGAGGTCCTTTGCGAAGGGCCGCGGGCCGCGAAAGACGGGCAGTCTTGGTGAAGCCGGACGGGCCGTCGGGTCCGCGGGAAGGAAGGGCGATGACGGACGCAGGCCGGACGGGCTCGTGAGGTGAGAACGTGACGGGGCCAGTCGCCCGAAGCCCCCGGGAGGCAGGTCAGGGTGCGAAGGGGTGCAGTTCTACGGGGTGTGGCACACAGGCGGGGGCTCTGACCGTCCCCTCTGTCGTGTGGGGGCTTGCATGTGTGTGTGCACACGTGCAACTGTGTGGGGGTGTTTTGTGTGTGCGTACATGTGCATGGTCTCTGTGCATGTGTGTGCATAGACATGTGTGCACGGTGTGTGCACCTTTGTGTGGATACACACGTATACACGTTCTCTGTGTGCGTACGTGTGTGCACACGTGCAGCTGTGTGGGGGGTGTTGTGTGTGTGCGTACGTGTGCATGGTCTGTGCATGTGTGTGTGCATAGACATGTGTGCATGGTGTGTGCACCTTTGTGTGGATACACATGTATACACGTTCTCTGTGTGCGTACATGTGTGTGCACACGTGCAGCTGTGTGTGTGGGTGTTTTGTGTATGTGCACATACACGTATACACGTTCTCTGTGTGCGTACGTTTGTGCACACGTGCAGCTGTGTGGGGGTGTTTTGTGTGTGTGCATACATGTGCATAGTCTCTGTGCATATACACGTGTGTGGTGTGTGCATGTCTGTGTATGGATACACACGTATACATGCTCTCTGTGTGTGTGCGTGTGTGTGCACACGTGCAGCTCTGTGGGGTTGTGTTGTGTGTGCATACATGTGCATGGTCTCTGTGCATGTGTGTGCATAGACACGTGTGCATGGTGTGCACATGTTTGTGTGGATACACACGTATACATGCTCTCTGTGTGTGTGCATGTGTGTGTGCACATGTGCAGCTGTGTGTGTTTTGTGTGTGTGCATATGTGCGTATGGTCTCTGTGTGCATATATATGTGGATATATACACACGTGTGCATGCTCTGTGTGCCTGTGTGCACATGTACACACGTGTGCATGGTCTCTGTGTGCATATGTATATGGATATATACACATGTGTGCATGCTCTGTGTGCACGTGTCATACGTGTGCATGGTACACACGTGCACATGGGTACGTGTGTGCACACGTGTGTGGACACATACATGTATGCATTCTGTGCGCATCACACGTGAGCACGTGTGAACGCACTGGGCACCGTACGTGCCGTGTGCTTGCGGACTGACCGTGGCCACTGACCTAGAGCTCACTCTCCCTAAAACGCTGCCTCGTCTCCCTGCACCTTGCGGAGCTCGTCTCTCCCCTCAGCGCCCCTGCTGCGCCCCCCACGCAGCCTCCACGCAAACCCAGAAGAGCAGGCGGAGCAGGGGTGCGGGCAGGCTCTCCCACCGGCCTGCAGCCCCCCTGCCCCAGGCGGCCCTCCTGCCCGGGGTCGGCCCCAGCGCCCCCCCCCCCCCGCCTGCTCCCTACCTGCCCGCGCCCAGGAGAATCCCCCGGACCCCAGACAAGAGCTCGGCTTCCGCCTGACGCCTGGGCTGAACTCCGGCACACACTGAATCCGCCCCCCACACCGTGTTGCATGGGTATCCGCACGCCGCCCGTGTGGCACAATTGTGCAGACGTGTGCAAAAGGCACACACAGTGAGGCCCACCGAACCCACACAGGACCCGGCAGGAAATGCAACGCTTCCACGGCCAGCGCTCGACGGCCAGTAACATCTCCCAGTGGATTTCTAGCCTGACTTAATCCATCCGTCTACACAGCCTGTCTCCCAGCTGCTGGCTGGTCCCCACACTGTGACCCTTTTCGGGGCCAACAGGCTCCACCCCCGGACGGGAGCCCGGCCGTCATGTTCGGGGACTCAGGGTGACTCACACGGGGCGGGGCTGCGCCTGGCGGGACACACACGAGTCACTCCTCACGTGGGCGCCACGCCGGGACACGGGCCCAGCCACACGCAGTCCCCCCCCGGCCCCCGGCAGGGGGGCATCTCCTCCGACGGACGACCCCCCGCAATCGGGCTTCTCGGGACCCCCATCAGGATGGTGGGACGGACACACGTGTCACAATCCGTGACACAGGCCGTGTGAGGAATTCACACAGGGAACTTGTCAGTGATCCCGACAAGCAGGGGAAGCCAGTTACACACAGACTCAGAATAAATTATACACGTGTACATACATGGACACGGAATTCTACACGGAACAGAGTCACAGATGTACACGCACAATAAACACTGTTCACAGACACGCACACGGAATTCTACACGGAACAGAGTCACAGATGTACACGCACAATAAACACTGTTCACAGACACGCACACGGAATTCTACACAGAATACGGAAGAAATGATGGACATGTGGAATAAATACCCTAAATTCACATATTTAGAATGTAGAATTCTGTATACAATATGGAATAAGTTAATCATATATATGTGGAATACGTTTTATATATTTACATGTACAGAGAATATAGGATTCTAGACAGCACATAAATTATGGATATATTTTTGGAATATGTTGTATATGCTATATATAAAATTGCAATATAGAGTATGGAATAAGTTACATACGTGCATTTGAAGTTAAGTTTTATATGACATATGCATACAACGTAGGATTCCATATAGAATATGAGTGATACACATGTATTTGAAATAACATACGTACTTACGTATATTCTATATAGAATTTGAAATAACGTATTTATGTATATTCTATATAGAATATAGAATCCTATATCGAATATAATTACACACATATATTAGAAATAATATATATTCACATATATAGACTATAAAATTCTATATGGAACATGGAATAAATTATATACACATATTCCTAAATATATATTTACATATATAGAGAATATAAATTTGTATATAGAATATAAAATAAATTATAGACATATTTTTGGAATAAATTATATATGCCTACATATATGCAATATAGAATTGTATATAGAATATGGAATGAATTATAGACAGTTTTGGAATAAATTATATATATTCACATATATAAAATATAGAATTCTACATACAACATGGAATAAGTCATACACATACATTTGGAATAAGTTTTATATATTTACATATATAAAGATTATAAAATTGTATATAGAATATGAAACAAATCATAGCCATATTTTTGAAATAAGTAATATATGCTTACATATATATAATATAGAAATGTATGTACAATACGGGATAAATTATAGACATATATTTTGAATAAGTTATATTTACATACAGAATATGACATAAATTATGGCCATATTTTTAATAAATATGTTTTAATAAACTATGTTTATATGTATATAATGTATAACTGCATACAGAAAAGGATAACTTATAGACATAATTTGCAACAAATTCCATATACATTTATGTATATAGAATATAAAATGAATATAAAATTCTATATAGAATATGGAATACATTACAGGTATTAATTTAAAATAAGTTACGTTTATATATACATATACCCACATGGGTAAATGTACTTACAGTAATAAAAGAAATTGCAAATTATATCAGTGATACATAGACCTTATGAATTCTACAAACTATATAAAAAGTAGAAGTAACTTATACAAGTAAAACTACAGTACAAACAAAAGACATTTATAACGTATTATAGAAACTGCAAATTACGTGATTTATAGGTATACAGAGAACTTATACATTACATGATTTATAAGTATACAGAGAACTTATACATTACATACATAAAGAGAAGATTAAAACAGAAATAACGTGTAGAAATAAGGACAGAAGTGAAATGCAGTTACAACAAATTACACACAACCCCTAATCCGTAATGTGTACAATTCACACACACAACCTATAAACTGCACAAACGCAACGTGGAGGTACACGGACACGGATTTCTACACGGAACAGAGTCACAGATGTACACGCACAATAAACACTGTTCACAGACACGGACACGGAATTCTACACAGAATACGGAAGAAACGACAGACATATCTGGAATAAATACCCTAAATTCACATATTTAGAATGTACAATTCTGTATACGATATGGAATAAGTTAATCATATATATGGAATACGTTTTATGTATTTACATATACAGAGAATGTAGAATTCTATGTAGCACATAAATTATGGATATATTTTTGGAATATGTTGTATATGCTAAATAAGTTATGTTTATATATATATACCCATATATGTACATATAGCTACAATCCTAGATTGCACGTATATGTACATATATATAAAGTTTATTCCAAATGCATGTATGTAACTTACTCCATATTCTATATACAATTCTACAATAATAAACGATAGAAATCACAAATTGTATCAGTGATATATAGACCTTATGAATTCTACAGACTATAAAAAGTAGAAGTAACTTATACAAGTAAAACTACAGTACAGACAAAAGACATTTATAATGTATTATAGAAGCTGCCAATTATGCGATTTATAGGTATACAGGTGACTTATACATTACGTGACTTATAACTATACAGA